GGGGCGGGAAGGTAAGCACCACAGACCCTCGTGTAGTGTAGGTGGTCAGGACGTATGATTAAGTGGAGTTGTTGGAGGTCTGGACTAAGGTACAGGATGCTGAGCCTGAAAAGAATTAGGAGTCGATCAAAAAGAAATGACAAAGCAGGAAATATAAGCAAGATCCATGAAAAAGAGTGACTGAATCGATCAGTATTCCAGCAGAAACCAGATGGTGCACTCCAAGGGCTAATATGGAGAGGACTCAGTGAAGGCATTTTTACAAAGGTGTGGGCAGGGCTAATAAACCAACAAGGGCTGGTGAGGCACCCAGGGACTCCCGACAGCAGGAAGCCTTTAGCAGTCTTAAACCTGCCCGGAAGGTTACTGGAACCTGGTGAGAGTTGGAGCCAAAGGGAGGGGGCTGGAGTAGCTCCAGTGGAAGTCAGGGTCTCGGGCAGCCGAACTCAGCCACTGCCAAAGATCTGCTAGTCCCCCCCACCGGCCTATTCTGATGGGGGAGCCAGAGGGCAGGGAAGGCCGCATGACGCTGCCCAGAACAGGGCAGAAAAGATGGGAGAGTAGACCTGGAAAGGTAATGAGGGCAAGACAGGATGATGACCAAGGTCAAGGCACCGGCGGAGGAGGCTAGCTAGGGACAAGCTACGCACTTGCATGCTTTCCCTAGCCATGGGCTCTAAAAGGGTGAGAGCCTAGAGGCAGACAGTGAAAGGGGGAAGTGTTAAGTAATTGCTCAAGAGGTAATCCACACGTGAGCTTTGAAAAAATGGTAGCTCTTCCGGGAGGAGGTGAGAAATAGAATCCCTAAGCCCAATGCCAAAAGCTCGGTATGGGCCCCTCCAAGCCTGTGGTTCTGTCCCACCTAGAAGCAAGGAACAGAAGTTGGACCTCCCCGTCCAATCTATTTGCCTGAACTCCAGTCCCTTCTTCAGTCCTCAACTACTGTCTGTATCTCGGCCCTTTGACTGCAGTACCCCAAGCTGAGTTTCTTTTGGTTAGCTGTTTCTTGTTTCCTTATCTGTCCAATATGGTGCCTCCCACCTATTAATAAATAAGCTCTAGAGGGTCAGATGGTTGGGGCCTTTCTGCCACACTACTAAACCAACTGCGCCAGAGGAACCCTTAGTTAATCCTCAGACATCCTCCTCCCCTAACTTTCTGGGACTAAGCCTCACTTATGTACCACTGGCAGATGAGAAGAATCATCAGAGCAAGGATCACAGTGAGAGTAAATATGAGAACGATGCATACAAGAGATCAATGAGAGGAGGCAGAGAGGGAGATCAGAGTGCACCAGCAACATTTTATTTGCAGGTTAGCCACACGGTAGTCAGAAATGATCTGAGCCAGGGGAGCCTGGGTGGCTCAGTCGGTGAAGCGTCCGACTTTGGCTCAGGTCATGATCTCACGGCTCAGGAGTTGGAGCCCCACATCGGGCTCTGTGCTGACAGTGCAGAGCCTGGAGCCTGCTTCGGATTCTGTGTCCCTCTCTGGCTCTGCCCCTCCCTGCTCAATCTCTCTCTCTCTCAAGAATCAATAAACATTAAAAAAAAAAAAATTAAAAAAAAAAAAAAAAGATCTGAGCCAGATAGAATTGCTTTTGCTTTCCAGCTCTGCCTTTAGGTCATGATGTGACTTAGGAAAAAATTACTTGACCTCCGTTAAGTCCTGCTTTCTTCATTTGGGAAGGCAGGGTATCCACCTTGCGTGGTAAGTGTCGAGCACGATGCCTGACACACTGCAAACAAGGCCTCAACAAAGCCGGCTGTTTGAAGTCATCGTCACCACCATCACCAGCAGGGTGATGCGCTGTCATTACAGACGCAGCCACGGTACCAAAACGACAGTTAAAAGGAACTATCCACATAAGGCACGTCATTACACCGAGGCACACAAAAGGAGAAAAAGGTATCGGGATATAAACATGGAGTGTTAATACGATTAATACGGTTCATCCACAGGATAAATGTAAATTGCGTGATGGATGAACGGGGCAAGGGAGAGCAGTCGTGGGAGCTGCACGCTGAGGCTGAATGGCCTCACCTACTCTGTAAAACCTGGAAGTCAATATCTGCCCGACATTTCTAATGTGCCTAACATGGCAGTCAATTATGAGTGACTGAAAAGAAACTAAGGATAAGATATGGTCCCTAACCTCAGAAACCCAACAATCTCGTTGAAAGGTTACGAATAGAACCTGAAATACATGAGGACACCCGGTGGTTCTGCAGACTAAGTGCAGTGAGTGTCCAAGAAGGGAAAGAGCTAATGGGCTGGAGTCCTTGGTGAGAAATTCAGGGGAGCACGGTCGGGGGAGGGGGGGGACGGGGAGGAAGGGGGCAGAAGCTGAGACAGGTGAAGGACATCAGAGAGAGAAAAGGGCTGGGAGTAGGGAGTCCGCCGAGGATGCCGCCCTAGAGGGACTCTGGTCAGAGGACGATCCAGATTGCCCTGCAGGTGCCGGACCTGCTGTTCTGCTGCACCTGTGACGTTGGGGCAAAGAGGAAATGGCTGTTTCCACGCTCAGTGCTCACAACAGTGAGCACTAAGCACGGTCTGTAGCCCCACGTGCCCCACAGCTGCTGCGGAGGCAGTTTTTATGTGCACGTGGCAGGGAGACCTACCTTTGGGCTTCTAGCTGGGAACGCCGAGCAAGGCACTAACCGCTTTGGTTTTCAGGTTCTTTGTCCATAAAAGGAGACTTGTCATGAGGGTTACAGGAGATGTGCATAGAGATGAGCATGTGACCGGCCTCTGGCACAACGGGACTGACCAGGAAGAGGGTCTTCCCCTCGTGGAAGTGCTCATTCTGTAGGTCCGTCTGGGGGTAGGGCTTTCTGGAAGTCTGGGCAAGTGTGTTGTGAACCCCCGGCTGCTAGGAGTGGCCTGTGTCCTGCCGTTGCTCCCTGCGGGGGCTTCCAGGCCCTGTGCCCGCACACCCTGCTCTAAGGACACTTGAGACAGAGAACTCTTAGCTGAACAGGAGGCAGGCTGGGAAGGAGAGAGACAGCAGAGGGCCACACCTGGCTTTGTCCTGCCAAGGAGACGTGACGGGGCGACGGGCAGCCAGCAGTGGGCTAACTATAACCCTATAAGCAGCCCTCCTAAACCAGGGCACTGGAGAGTGGAGAGGGGTTGGTTTTGGTAACCCCACTGCGGGTAGCGGGTGTGACGACGGCTAGAAAAATAAAAATTTTAGATTAAAAAAAAAAAAGAGAAACGTCCCAAATCAATTCAACTTGTACAGAATGCCTACTACGAGCCTGCTAATGTGTTAGGCGCTGAGGCACAGAAAAAGAACAAGATAGTCTCTGTTCTCAAAGAACTCAAGGCGTCCCGACGGAAAACGAGGGAAGCGGGACGTACAAAAAATCGGGTATCACAAGGCAGTGCGACAAATGCTGTTAACAGAGACTGGTCATTCCATAAGAGAGGGCCGGAGCACCGGGATGGCAGGCACCGGCCAGGGCTTAGGTAGCAGGCAGGGTCTCGTGCGGGAACGACCTAGAGCTTAGAGGCCCCTACACCCCAGTCCGTCCACCCCCGGCGGAGAGGAGGCAACTACATCACACTGCGGATGAAACCATAATCTGAGAGCCAGGACGTGCTTTTTAAGGCCGGAAGGGTCGAATTGCTGGCTGGGGACGGGAAGGCCACCTTGACACAAGGAAGGGCCAACTCCGCAGCGGCGAGACCCGGGGACACCTTCCCCGCTCCCTCCCACCCAGGGCTGCCGGACAAAACAGCAGCCGTCCAGTTCGGTTCCAGTCCGGGCACACGAGGCATAGTTTCAACATATAGGCGCTTCCCGAGTACTCACGGGGCACGCACGCTGGGCCCGGCCCACACGCCCCGGTTCCCGGCGGGCTGGCGGAGGGACGCCCGGCAAGCGATCGCGGGTCATCTTCCCTTCATCCGCGGGTCTCCGGCCCGGGGGACGCGGCCCGAAGTTCGTCCCGTCCCAGGCTCCGTCTCCGCTGACCGGAGATGCGGCGGGGGAACAGGCGGCACGAGCAGAGCTAAGCCGCCGCGACTCCGGGACCACGCCGGCCGCCCTCCGGGAGCCAGGGCACCACGCCTCCCTCAAGGACCGGAAGTCCCGCCCCCGCCGAGGGAAGGCGCGGCAGCGACACAGCCAATCCAGAGGAAGGCACGCTCGGCCGGGCCACTGAGAGCGCGGCGCGGCGCCTCCGACCGGAAGCGGGGCGGGGGCGGGGCCTCCTGCCGGAAGCGACCGCCCGGCCGAGGTTTCGGTTGGCGGCCGGCGGGTGGGAGATGCGCCCGCGAGCGAAGGGCGGGCGTTCGAAGGCAGCTCAGCGCTGGGGCTGAGCGGCTGAGGCGCCGCGCGGTCATGGCCCCCACCAAGCCCTGGGGAGAGTGGTTCCTGGGCCTGCGGGTGCCGCCCGCCGGCGTCTTCGGGGTGGCCTTCCTCGCCCGGGTGGCCCTGGTTTTCTACGGCGTCTTCCAGGACCGGACGCTGCTCGTGCGGTACACGGACGTCGACTACCGGGTGTTCACGGACGCCGCGCGCTTCGTCACCGAGGGGCGCTCCCCGTACCTGCGGGCCACGTACCGCTACACCCCGCTGCTGGGCTGGCTGCTCACGCCCAACGTGTACCTGTGCGAGCTCTTCGGGAAGTTTCTGTTCATCAAATGCGACCTGCTCACCGCCTTCCTCCTCTACCGCCTGCTGCTCTTCAAGGGGCTGGGCCGGCGCCGGGCTTGCGGCTACTGTGTCTTCTGGCTCCTTAACCCGCTGCCCATGGCGGTGTCCAGCCGCGGCAACGCCGACTCGATGGTGGCGGCGCTGGTGCTGGCGACGCTGTACCTGCTCGCGAGGAGGCAGGTGGCGTGCGCCGCGGTGTCGTACGGCCTCGCCGTGCACATGAAGATGTACCCGGTGACCTACATCCTGCCCATCGCCCTGCACTTGCTCCCGGAGCGCGGCGGCCACCCCGGTGACCCCGGCGGGCCCCGCTGCCCCTTCCAGGCCCGCCTGTACGAATTCCTCAAGAGGCTGTGCAGTCGGGCCCTGCTGCTCTTCGTCGCCGTCGCCGGGCTCACGTTTTTCGCCCTGAGCTTCGGCTTCTACCAGAAATACGGCTGGGAGTTTCTGGAGCACACCTACCTGTACCACCTGACGAGGCGGGACATCCGGCACAACTTCTCGCCCTACTTCTACATGCTGTACTTGACCGCGGAGAGCCCGTGGAGCTTCTCCCTGGGCCTCGCCGCCTTCCTGCCGCAGTTCCTCCTGCTGTCGGCCGTGTCGTTCGCCTACTACAGGGACCTCGTCTTCTGCTGTTTCCTGCACACGGCCATCTTCGTGACTTTTAACAAAGTCTGCACCTCCCAGTACTTTCTTTGGTACCTCTGCCTGCTGCCCCTGGTGATGCCGCTGGTGAGGATGCGGTGGAAACGCGCCGTGGTTCTCCTGATGCTGTGGTTCATCGGGCAGGCCCTCTGGCTGGCTCCTGCGTACCTCCTGGAGTTTCAGGGAAAGAACACCTTTCTGTTTATCTGGTTAGCTGGTTTGTTCTTCCTTCTTATCAACTGTTCCATCCTAATTCAAATTATTTCCCATTACAAGCAGGAACCCCTGGCGGAGAGAATCAAATATGACTAATTCGTGCTCCCGTTCTTCCGCCACTTCTAGTACATTCTGATGGTGCCGAATGGGCCAGAAGAGAGCTTTGGAGACATTTTTTGAACATCCTGTGCACGCTGGTGAAAGTTCAGTTGGGAGCATGAATCCCGGCCCCAAGGGAGATTAAAACGAATGGTTGCCTTGTATATAAAGGGGACTCAATAATTGAGGTCCGCCTCTAGGAAATCTTAGGCCTCATTCATCGGGAACACGATGGGGAGGAAAGGTTACTTGTTTCGACACCGAAAGGCTGATGAAACTATCAGATGCCAAAAGGTTTTTGAAGAAAAATAGAGGAATGTAGTCAGTCCTGGGGTCTAACCCAGTATTCGTACCAGCTACACTATGCTGAAGAGTCTAAAGCTGTCTTTCCTTTTCAACCCCCCACTTTTTCTTTTGAAAGCTTTCCCAATAGCTGTGAAAACTCACGGAATGTTCCTAAAGTACAGCTTTTAGATGTAAAGTGGTAAAGATTAACTCTTGTGCTTAGGTTGGGAAAGTTCATTCTGTGTTAAAAGTGGGGGCTTAGAAAAGAGCCCAAAGAATTTAAACTGTAATCATGTTTCACATGTCTGTTTCATTACTTAGTTTTTCAGCACTTAGTCTCATGGTATTTCACTACCATTTGGTTTTATGCAGAAAGGATTAAATTAAAATTCACCCATCTTTAAACTGAAGTCATTATATTATTTAAAAAAAATTTTTTTTCAACGTTTTTTATTTATTTTTGGGACAGAGAGAGACAGAGCATGAACGGGGAGGGGCAGAGAGAGAGGGAGACACAGAATCGGAAACAGGCTCCAGGCTCTGAGCCATCAGCCCAGAGCCTGACGCGGGGCTCGAACTCACAGACCGCGAGATCGTGACCTGGCTGAAGTCGGACGCTTAACCGACTGCGCCACCCAGGCGCCCCTCATTATATTATTTTAAAATAGCATCTTGCTTTTGATGTTTGACGTCCACAAACTATTAAGGACATTTTAGTGTTCTTTTATACCCCTTTGTTTTTAATTTTCTGATTGCTTTTTTTTCTAGTTTTCATTTTTTTTTTTTTTAATGTTTATTTATTTCTGAGAGACAGAGAGACAGAACGCTAGCAGGGGAGGGGCAGAGAGAGAGGGAGACACAGAATCCGAAGCAGGCTCCAGGCTCTGAGCTGTCAGCACAGAGCCCTACTTGGGGCTCGAACCCATGAACCGTGAGATCATGACCTGAGCCGAAGTTGGACACTTAACCTGACTGAGCCCCCCCGGCGCCCCTAATTTTCTGATTGCTTAAAAATATTTTTCGTCTGGAATTTAAGTGAATCTTGTGTCATCTGTGTTGCGAAAATGCAAAGTAGTAGATTTTAAGTGATAAAAAAATTACATTGTTAGTAAAGTGTTTTCCAGCTTAAAAATACCCCTCTGAAGAAAATTCTATGATGGAAATGGAGACCTGTGTGGGAGGCTCTGGAAAGCATTAAGAAGCATCATTAGTCTTCAGACCAGGAAATTGAGGGAGAGACTGTGGACCTGAGGCTTTGCTGGGCAGACCATTTCCCTTATTACTATCATATTTCTAGGAAAAAATGTTTTCTGAGTTTCAAACAAGCAACCTAAAATTTTTTTTTAGTCCCCATCTAGGTTGGGGACTCCCTAAGAAGCTAAAATGTAGGAGTTTGTGGTTTTAAAAGGTGAGTAATTAAGTGACATTGTTCTTTCATAGTAAAACACACACACACACAGCGCACAACTTTAGAGAAGTAGTATATTTCGTATCAGTTCCGGCCAAAAAGAGACTTTGAGAGTAATGTCTGCAGGCTGGTCATAAACAAGAATGCTGTTACTGGGAGCACTTCTTTGATGGATGTGTTTTGGGACCTGCCATTAGAAGGAGGGAAAGAATGGGTGGTTTTGCACGGGTTGTTGTTCAGTGAAAATAGCAGAGACCATTAATTGTTGGAGATGGTGACCGTTCTTAGAGCATCTAGTCTCATATCCCATGTTAGGTCTTACCTTGAGTACTGTTCGTATGTGATTGTTCATCAGTTGCCTTCCAGCCATGACTTTTTTATCCTTTTTTTTTTTCATTCTTTTGTAATAATAATTAAATTTTTTTTTGCTAGAGAGGCACCTGGGTGGCTCAGTCTGTTGAGCTTCCGACTTCGGCTCAGGTCATGATCTCACAGTTTGTGGGTTTGAGCCCCGCATCAGGCTCTGTGCTGACTGCTTGCTCAGAGCCTGGAGCCTGCTTCAGATTCTGTGTCTCCTCCTCTCTCTGCCCCTCCCCTGCTCACGCTTTGTCTCAGTCTGTTTCTCAAAAATAAAAATAAATGTAAAAAAAAAACAATTTTTTTTTTGGTAGAACTGGGTGGGAAAGGGGTGGGAAACATGGAATTCCAGTATCCCAATATAATTGTCTTTTTGGTATTCCAGACTATTTTTTAGATTGTCATAAGTATATTCACTTATTAACTTCCCAATTTGTTTTAATATTCTGTTTTTGTCGCGGCTTACTCTGTACTTACATTGAAGTTGCTGAGCAACACTCCCATCACACGGATGTTCACATCATAAGTCAGTCTTCCACTGTGAAACCTCGACAGTTGCCTCTAATCTAAGACTTTAAACGTTTTCCATGTCTTAGATCATTCCCTTAACATTCTCAGAGTGTCCGATATTCTTAGAAGTCGGTGGAGTTCTCCTGGGATCTTTGGACAGAGCTTCAAGTGCGGAACCTGCCCTGGGGGGACATTCTCTCCCAAAGAACTGTGGGCATTTCTCAAAAGATGTAGAGGCTGTTTTGCAGCTCGTAGGCTGCAAACCATTTATAAATTCATGAAGTGATTTTATTTTGTCTCTTGAGGGTTTTCATTTTTTTCATTTTGCTTCCTGGTTTTATAAAATCTCTTCTTGTCTTCTTTTCACTTGCAGTCTTTTTGGTGTCTTTAGTAGTCCTTTAAGAACACCTTAAAATCATATGGGACTTTGCCTTATTTCCTACACAATTCTTTTTGTTCTAATGATCAATGTACCTTACGATCAATGTACCCATTTATAGATAAGCGCTAATTATTAGCATATGAGGCACCATACTTAAGAGAATCTGTTCTAAACCCAGCAGACCACATGGCTTATTTTCTTCAGTAGTTGCCTTACTGTCTTCAAAATGTCCTTAAATATCTCTAGATAAATTTCCTGGATTAGGTACATTGGAAAGGCTCATATTCTCCCGGCCCCCACACAAGACTCTTAAAACCGTAGATCTTAGTTACTGACTTCTCACCATTTGGCTGAATGACTCTGTGACATAACATTGTGTCAAAAGTTGGATAAAACTCGTCTTGCAGTTAGTTTTCTGCACCACCACCCAGCCTCAACCATCTGTACAATGGGTGGAAAAGGGAAAAGATGGAAAATTTCACATGGGACAGTCTCTAAATGCAACCTCGTGTTTTTATTTGTTCCCCAGTGCTTTATTATGAACACTTTAAACACGGCCCACAAACCTGCCATCAAAGTTCAACAATTAGTGTTTTGCTATATTCGCTTTATTTACACGTACTATTTTTAAATTATTACTATTATTATTTTTAAATTAATGCTCATTTTTGAGAGAGAGCGGGGGAGTGGCAGAGAGGGAGACAGAGGATCCGAAGTGGGCTCTGTGCTGACAGCAGAGAGCTGGATGTAGAGCTTGAACTTAACCGTGAGATCATGACCTGAGCCAAAGTCAAATGCTTAGCCGACTGAGCCACCCAGGCGCCCCTTATTTTTATTTTTATTTTTAGAGAAAGAAGGAGAGAGAGTGCAAGTGGGAAAAAGGAGCAGAGAGAGAGAACCTTAAGCAGGCTCTATGCTCGGTGTAGAGCCTGACGTGGGGCTCAGCCCCACAACCGTGGGATCGTGACCTGAGCTGAAAAAGTCAGACCCTCAATAACTTAGCCAGCCAGGCACCCTATACATATTATTTTTATTATTTATTTGTATATATAATTTTTTCTGAACCGTATGAGGTTGCAAACATCAGTGAACTTCACCGGTAAATTCATCACACATCTCCTAGAAATAGTCTTTTCTTACAAAACTGTAATATTGTTATATCATTTTAACAGCCTGTCCGTTTTCTAGTTTCTCCAATTATTTTGTGTTTAATCTTAAAGAATAGACCTTGGATTCTCCGGAAGAGCGTGCTAGAGAACCTGTAATTAAGTATTTTGGATCTTTTCCTGGTCTTTACCACTAAGTGAGAAGTAAAGGAATTTACCTCCCATCGAAGTCGAACAAATAATTCTTTGGTGTGCGTCTTTCTGTCTCCCTCCTAGGAAAACCCAGGGTAGGCATCATCCCCAAGAAGTTTTTCAGATAAAAGATTATACGTGTTTAGATTCCTCGTATCCACCCCTCCCCCACGACGACCGATGAACTGATTTTACAACGTGGTGACGGTTAAGTTGTGGCTTTTCATGATTCACTGATTCAGGATCCCTCTTCTGCCGTATGTGGCTTCGGTTCATTTTCACGGCAACACTTTGGTGTTGAAGTTGGAGCTGGCGTTCGTACTCCCGTTTTACAGATGAGCAAAGAGGCTCAAAGATTAGATGACTCCCTAAGTGTCCGGGCTAGAATCTGACGAGAGTTTTGCCTGACTGCCCTACCCCTTCCATTCTGTTATGTTTTGGATTTTCCCCGGAGCGCGCAGGCCCGGTAGATGGAGATGGCCGCAAAATAAACAGGACTCAGCACTAACTGTCACAAACGTCGGCCAGTGTGTCCTTCCTAAACTTGCAGTATCTGCTCGAGGGCCAGTTCTCACTTGGGCGGAGGTTCCCGCTGGCCCCAAACTTCTTTTTAATCATCCCAGACATGTAATAATCCCCTCCCACATCCAAATCCTCTCACCAGATTTTATTTGCTTTGCGACGGCTGACTTGATAATGCCCTTTCTCTCCCTGGCCTGGGCTAAAGCTGATTTGCAGAACCGCGCGTTAGCCCCGC